CAAGGCCAAATCGCTTATAAATAAACCTAACTAAGCAGCAATTAAGCAAGCACAGGATACTCAGGTTTAATAGATCAAATAGAACCAGCGATCAAGATTAAACACGAGTGTGTAAGAGATTAAGAACTCGTTTGGATGTGCTTTTAAAATAACTGTAAGCGTTTTTAGTGAAAATAATTTTAGGACCCAATCCTTAGTAAAAATGCAAGCAAATCTTGAAAAAACACTTAAAGTGCTTCATGGAATAAACACTTAATTGGTGCTTCTTGTAGAAAGCACTTTAAGTACTTTTGGAACCGAAAAATATTTTTTCTAAAAGTGTTTTTAATCATTTTAAAAACACATCCAAACAAACCCTAAAATACAACACGTGAGGATAACTTTTCAGAATTATTCGAGATTCATATAATAGCTGCAACATCGCCATCTTCCAAATACAATGCATCGTCACTCTCTGAAGTCATTCAGATACACTGCACCTTCAATTCTCTCCATTTTATGAAAAAAAGGGCATTGACAATTTGACATGGACATGGACATGGGCCTACTAAATCTCGCGCTACTTGTCTTTGAGGAACCAATAAACATTTATCATGGAACCGGATCCCTTCCAGAGCAATATAGTCGAAGTTTGCTAAGCAGATTATCCGGCCAGATAAAATTTGATTCAATGATTATAATTATTATAACTTTTAAAGGGTCCTCTTGTTTATAGTTATTGAATCAAATTTCAACGGGCCGGATGACCTGCTCAACAGGCTCAGATTATATTGCTCCGAAGGAGATCCAGTTCCATTTATATATCTTTATTATTTTTAATTTATCCATTTCAAATGTGGCTTTTAATACGGAATGTGGGTCTCTTTTTAATTAGAATGTTCAACTCACTTTCGTAGAGAGAAAATCATCGATCGAATCATCTCATGACATATTATGTTTGACGAATTTTCAAAAAGAATAAAAACTCTTTTTCACTCTGATTTTAGATTGGTCTTGTCTTGTGAGAGAGTTGTCTTATAAGTAATATGGTTGTCTTATTCAAGAGCCTCTCGCACGTATAACACGTCAACGATTCAAGTAAAAAAGAAATAAAAATCGATAATAATTGTTACGGACATGTGGCATAGTTTTATGTGGTGGCGAGTCCACACATGTTGCCATATGCACATCTTTTAATCCACATAAGCAAATTTAATAGATGTGTAACGAGTTTAACAAAAATAAGACAATGTAAAACTAATTTTGTACTTCAAAGATTAAAATAACAACTTTTAAATTTAAAAAATAAAATAAAATCAAAATCGAATTCTAAGACGGTAGCTAACATACATGTAGGGCCAGTAAGATGCTAAATATATAATTTGTTTTCTTTTCTCTAATTTCATTGAGGAAAAAAAATATATAAATTCTAGATGGGTCTTCTCTTCGCGCGAGCAAGACCCTCGTATTCCTTTGTCTTGGATTTATTCTTCCGTGGCGTTGTTCGTTTGTCCGTGATGCTTTTTGGCTCTCCCTCTCCTCCCTCCGAGTCTCTGTCTTTCTCCCTCCGCTTTACTATCTTTACTCCTCCTTCCTCCACGTGAAAAAACGCTTCACACTTTCAGAGGCTCAGCTCCTGCAAAATGGACGGGTCAGATCACTCCTTCTGAGCTCCCCAGTTGATCTCTCACCCTCAGTTCGAGCATCAAGAATGGTAATACTAAATTTGACTAAATTTATAATATCATTTTTGTTTTGTTTATCAGTTGATTAGAGATTATTATTTTATGATTAGCCTCGTTTTTTAGCATATCTGGATACTGGGGCGAAAATCTCATTGAACCCTTTAAGCATTGCCAAGATCATCATCAGAAAACAAAGATTATTGGGTTTTTTTCTGGATTAATTTTTAAGAAAATAGATGGATTATTAGTTCCAAAGCTTCAATCTTTTTTCTATTTTTTATTGTTTTTTTTATGATTTTTTCACAGATTCATTGAAAACGTCTGTCGAAAAAATGGAGTCCTGTGATTGCGTAGATGCGCAATGGCCCCCGGATGAGTTGCTGGTGAAATATCAGTACATATCTGATGTGTTCATTGCCCTTGCCTATTTCTCCATCCCCTTGGAGCTCGTATATTTTGTGCAGAAATCCGCTTTCTTTCCGTACAGATGGGTGCTTATGCAATTCGGTGCTTTCATTGTTCTTTGTGGAGCAACCCATTTCATAAATGTCTGGACTTTCTCTATGCACACCAAAACTGTTGCTATAGTTATGACTGTTGCCAAGGTTTCGTGTGCCGTTGTATCGTGTGCTACTGCTCTAATGCTCGTTCACATTATCCCTGATTTGCTAAGCGTCAAGAGCCGGGAGCTGCGTCTGAAGAACAGAGCTGAAGAGCTTGACAGGGAGATGGGGCTCATGCTCACTCAGGAAGAAACAGGAAGGCATGTTAGGATGCTTACTCATGAAATTCGAAGCACATTAGATAGGGACACTATATTAAAAACTACCCTTGTTGAGTTGGGTAGAACTTTAGGCCTCGAGGAATGCGCGTTATGGATGCCGTCCAGAACTGGTATGAACCTACAGCTTCATCACACTCTGAACTACCAGATACAAGTTGGGTCTACTGTGTCAATAAACCTTCCTGTGGTCAATGAAGTCTTCAATAGTTCTCGAGCAATTCGTATACCATACACCTGCCCACTGGCCAGGATCAGACCGCTTGTGGGAAGATATGTGCCGCCTGAGGTTGTTGCTCTACGGGTACCCCTATTGAATCTTTCGAATTTTGAAATCAATGACTGGCCGGATCTCTCTGCCAAAAGCTACGCAATCATGGTATTGATTCTACCCACTGATAGCACCAGAAAATGGCGAGACCATGAATTGGAGCTCGTTGATGTTGTTGCAGATCAGGTCTGTTTTCACGTTCACTTGCTTCCTTTTCACTGCATGACTCACTGTCCTGATGCATTTACTCGTTTTCTTTTGTTTTCACAATGCTTATTTGCTTACTGTTTAACTACTGCTTGCATCTTAAGTTCATGATTTGAAAGAGTAATGTATTTATCGGGAGCTCTTATGCACATTTGTTTCCTGATCATGCCGAAACAACTGATAAATCACTTGCCTTCTTTATGATTCCTATATACTTGCTAAAGGTTATAACAAGTGTAGCTGTGCTCAGGTAGCTGTTGCTCTTTCACATGCTGCTATTCTGGAAGAGTCTATGCGAGCCCGTGCTCAGCTCATGGAGCAGAACAAGGCTTTAGATTTAGCTCGGAGAGAAGCAGAGATGGCAATCCATGCTCGCAATGATTTCCTTGCTGTCATGAACCATGAAATGAGGACACCAATGCAGGCAATCATTGCATTGTCTTCTCTTCTGTTAGAGACGGAACTGACTCCAGAACAAAGGCTTATGATAGAGACAGTTCTAAAGAGTAGTAACCTTTTGGAAACACTTATTAATGATGTTTTAGATCTTTCTAGACTAGATGATGGCAGTCTAGAATTAGACAATGAAATATTTAACCTCCATGGAGTTTTCAGAGAGGTAAATTTTCCAGACCCGGGGCCTGAATGTATACTTTTGGTTTTGGCAAACTTACGTGCAAGCCTTTTCCAAACTGTAGGTAATGAATTTGGTACGGCCCATCGCATCTGTGAAGAAGTTGTCTATGACTTTGATTCTAGCCCCAGATTTACCTGTGTGTGCTGTTGGAGATGAGAACCGGCTTATGCAAACCATTCTCAATGTTGCCGGTAATGCGGTGAAGTTCACAAAGCAGGGCTATATTTCAATTATAGCGTCTGTTGCGAAACCAGAATCTTCAAGAGACTGGCAACCACCGGAGTTTTATCCAGAGTCAATTGAGGGCCACTTCTACCTACGAGTTCAGGTCTTGTGCGATTTATCTTTGTTTAGTTTTTCTTTGTATGCTGAGGTCGAGACATCTCTTAGTAACTCTGACATCGATGCAACGTGATCTAATGGCACTCCTGATGTTGCAGGTTAAGGATTCTGGCTGTGGTGTTCTCCCAGAAGATATTCCTCATCTTTTCACCAAGTTTTCTCTGCCCCGAAATGGATCCAATCGAATAAACAAGGGTGCAGGACTTGGACTTGCCATTTGCAAACGGTAGACTTGAATATTTTCTGATTTTTTACCAGTTCTATAGGGCATTGAAAAATTTGCATTCTGCTTTTTTTTTTATTGCTTGTTCATCCAACTTGGTCACCACATGTTCCGAAATGACTTGATTAGGTTTGTAAACACCATGGGAGGTCATATTTGGATTGAAAGCGAGGGTATCGACAAAGGGAGTATCGTTGCATTCATCGTCAGACTGGGGATATGCGACAATCATAGTGATACAACACACCAGGTCCAGATGCCACCTAAAGGACAAGCAAATTATGGAAGCGGAGATCTCGTTGGACGCAAACCATCCTTTAGGGATCGATTTGGCGCAAGTTCATCGATTGCACGTTATCAAAGAAGTCTTTGAATGTCAATGGTCAGAGTCATCCATGTTTGCTGCTTGACAGAGATATTAGCTCAACCTGGGGATTTTGATTTAGGATGTTGAGGTTGGATGAAATCTGTAGGTTTCAAAATTTAGCAATAGCACAATCACGTACTTCGTATGTAAAACTGAACGATGCCGTTTATAACTGTTAATCATCACCTTTACGAGGCGATTAATGCAATTGTTTCTTAATCAGAAAGTGTTAAATCCTCGTCCGGATGAGCCAAATCGGGTAATTAACATGTTATACCGTCGATACACCATTATCTACAATCATTCGATAACTGGGTTGAAAGAAACCTATATCATGGACAACCTTCAATCATTAAATAAAAAAATAAAAAAATAAAAAAATTTAAATTTAAAAAAAAAAAAATTAATAAAACACTTCTGATACTGTTCATTTTTAATGTATCGGAAAACAGAGAATTTGTTAAACGAGAATTTCATATTAAATCTGAATACAGAACAGGTAGATCCGGGACCAAAAACCGATCAATAGATAAAAGAAACTAAACTTCATACAGAGTACGCCGATTTTGAAATCTCTTTCAACTAGAAAATAAAGTACTGACGTCCAAAACAAACGAACAAACTTGCTCGTTAAAACTAATCTAGCAAAGTAAGTCGACACAAATGGACCATAACAAGTCATCAATCCATCAGTTCTCCTCGTAGAGCACTCACTTCTTTGATTTCTTGGATACCCTGCAAGTAAAAGAGGCAATGTAATAAGCAAAAAACAACACCAACAAGGTCAGCAGATAATATATATAGGGTTTCAAGGCACGGTACTAACTGTGTCGGTTGAGCTGCAGCTGGGGCAGCGGGTGCTGGTGCTTTCTCTTGAGGTCCCTGAACGCAGAGAATAATCAGCAACGTGAGAATCTCAAATGAATTACATAATAATCAGTAAACAGATTACGGTGACAATACCTGAGCCAAGCGTTCCTCTCTCCTGGCGTGCTTCCTCTCCCTGCTAGCCTTGTTCTTTGCCCGCTTAGCCTCGAATTGATCAGACAGAGTCTTCTCTCTTGCCTTCTCAGCCTTTGACTTGTGAATGCTCTCCATCAGCACTCTCTTATTCTTGAAAACATTACCCTTAACCTTCATGTACATGTCATGGTACATGTGCTTGTCAATCTTCTTTGATTCACGGTACTTGCGAAGCAACCGCCTGAGCACCCGCATCCTCCTCATCCAGAGGATCTTGGTAGGAAGCCTTGCCTCCCTGGTACCCTTGCGCTTACCTAAAAATTTAAGAAATCACTCATGAAAATGTGACTTGCTCCTGGTTTGAATAAATGCAAACACTAGTGTATATGTACAGTCACAGTGCAAGCCTAGATAACACATACAATAACATACCATATCCAGAGTGACGTCCCTTTCTCTTAGCCTCCTTCATACGACGTGCACGAGAGCGAGAGTGAATCTTGGTCGGCTTCCTGATGATGAAACCATCCTTGACCAACTTCCTTATGTTTTGGCCTGCAATTCAGAATTAAACACGTCAACAAGCAATACACGGAAAGGCAGAAGTGCTAAAAAAAATTGGCATCCGATTACCGTCAATCTAAACTTCTACTTATACAATTGCAAATTATTGGCGAAACTTCACAAGTAGAAAACACGGGGAAAATTCAAATATAACAAGTAAAACATACATTATCGCAACACGAAAACATCTCATCACATTTCGCTCTACAACTACAAAATGACTTAAATTAAAACATAATCCAGATTATAACAATTAAACCAACGTTAATTACTTCTATACTGATTTGAAGATAATAAAAAGCTACCACTCAAGTCAAAATTCGATATCAATTAACCACAGCTCATATACTTAAAACAAATCGTAGATTAAATCTAACACAAAAATATAATCTTTCAATAAACCCAGTTCAAAACAGTTAACAGAAATCTCAAAACTTCAGCAACCGTACACAAATCCCTTCCGTACAACACAGAATAATTACATGTTTGAGTTTTCACGATAGCCAAACAGTGGATTAACGCGGGATTAAAGAAATGGATGGAAAATTGATTAAGTGGGGAAAACAGCGCAGGATATGCAGATCAAAAGAAGCAAATAAGGAGGAAAATGAACGGAAAGGAGAAGAACGTACGAGAATTGGCCATGGAGATCTCGCTGACTTCATTGGGGTCGAGCCAGACCTTGCCGCGACCGCACTTGAGGACGCTGGAGGCGAGCCTTTTCTGGAGCTTGAGCGAAACCATCGTCCGTGTCTTACCTCCTTCCTTCCCTTTCCTTTCGGCAACTGCAGTGGGCAGAGAGGCTGAGCTTCAGTGGACGACAAGCTTTTATATATCGCTCACTTTTGCGGTTTTGGAGTTTCGACCTAGGGTTTCCCCGTATGACTGGGCCTTAATATTTCATGTGCCTGTTTCTTCTATATTTTTCTATGTGGGTTTTTTAGTTGGGTGGTCCAGCCTGTTTTGATTGTAAGCTGCTACTCGTCTACATGAAGCTGGAATCGCTAATAATTACTGTTCAGTTATACGGCGGTGAATTCGTTCCCTGGCTTTATTCACAACTCCAATAATAAATTCGATTATTTCTTAGCAAGTAATATATTGGACTAGGCTTAAATATGTTTGACTAGTTTAATTTTCATTGTCTTATCTAAAAACCTATAATTCAAATTTGGGAATGGGATATTCTTTTGGGTCACTATATAATGTGTTAATAATTAGGAAATTTTCTATGTAAATCCTAAGCTTATAAATAGGCACTTTAATGATAGAAAAAATGACTCTGATTTCCCTTCCCAATTTCTCCCTCGTTTCTCTCATGTTTCTCTCTTTCTCTATATATGTATTTCTAACAATGTCTCTAATATTTCCCTTCTTTTTAAATTTAAAAGATTCTAAGAGCATATCTTGCGAAACTCATATCTCGAAACTTTATGTTGTTCCAAAGTTAATCTAATTTTGTGCATCAACAACACCAATTTGGAATTTAACGGAGATTCTCGTTGTTTCTTTAGTATGGTTATAGTTGGCTTGGAGAACTTTTTTCGAACTTGCAAGTAGCTTGGAGATTACAAATTAATAAGTTACTAGTAGAACATGATTCTGCCCTCATTGTTTCTTTAGTATTGTCGTAGTGGATAATCAACCATTGGTTTCTCTTGTTTCGGTCTGTCGAAATTTGTTTTCAAAAACTTTTTTTATAGTTTTAAAAACGAAATGTTTAGGTACGAAAGCATTTTTTGTAACCGGTAGTTTGGCATACATCCATACAAATTGGGTTTTGATTACTCTTTTCCTTGTTGTGACAATTTGAGTTCTTAAGGATTGATTTGAGACTTCCAAAACTAATCTTATCTTGTTTAAGTTGTTTGGGTCCAAGCCTCATCTTAACGATCAATTTGAGAAAAACACCCACATCTGTTTTTATTCAACGCTCTACCTAACTGCCAGAATTACACAAGGTAGAGGTAGTAGTTGTGGGAATTGTGCTAATGACGGCGATGGTGGCGGCAACGATGATGGTGGTAGTATAAGGTTAGTGGTTGCGTCGTGGGTGGTGATAATGACGATAGTGGAGGTGGGGGAGGTGATGAGATTGGCAGCGGCAATGTTAAGAGTATGGTAGTGGGCCCAATAGTGCACTGTAGTGGTTGAGATGTATCGGTAACAACGGTGGTATAGCAGCAACCTCGATGGTGGTGGCAACTTTGGTTGTGGTTTTGGTGGTGGTGGTGGTAGTGGTGGTGGTGGTAGTGGCAAAGGTGGCGAGGGTAGTAATGGCAACGGTGGTGTAAGATTAGTGGTTGTAGTGGTAGGTGATGGCAGTCATTTTGATCTCCAAGAGAGAAAATATGTGTAGTATTACTAATAATGTCATTTTTAAAAGCTAATGAGGGTATCATAGAAATTGAAAATTTTATTAAAGGTTTAATGTCTCTTTTTATAAAAGCACATCTTAAAAAACAATCTATATACTGCTTTCAAAAACTGCTATTTAAAGGTCATTACTTATAAATAAAGCAGAGAATTTTATTTTTACCAAGCATTTTTTGTTGCTTAATTTAAAAGTGAAACATTTTTCGATGAAAAAGAAATCAAATATCAACGGCCCTATATCCCAGTCTGAATAAAGTTCTAATAGCCCAACCCAGTTCAATCAGATATCAGGCCCAACGATTAGAAGAAAGGGCGCTACTTGTCAAGCCATCGGGTGTTTCGTTGTGTAGTACAAGAGAGAAAAAGTCAAGTAGGAGAAGGGGACGTACAAGTTTGCAAAAGGCGGCAACCGTGGGCGCGCACTGGGAATTGGACAACGGAAAGGATTCTCTCTGAATTCCTTCTTCTTAATCCATCAAGTTCGGAAATTTGAGTTATTAAAATTTGTTCTAACGACTATAAATAGGGGCCCACTTTAAAAATTACAATAACTTTAATCGTTGGATCAAATTTTAATAGTTCGAATCTCCGAACTTGATGAATTAAAAGAAAGGAATCCCTTTCCTTAGAAAACTACTCACACCTAAATTGGATATAAATCACGTTTCAATTAACATTACCATTTCTTATAAATTCTTTGGAATTTTGACCCAAAACTTAATAATAATTCTCAGGAGAGAACGAAATTGGAAATTGGAAATTGGGAGGAATGGAATGGGATTTTCAACAATTACACTCAGTGTCTCAGCACTCATCTAAATAGTGGTATGCGTTTTAACGCCTTCATATGACAATGGGTGTTCGCGTCTCAACACAATGCGCAAAGCATTTTTAAGTCTCCAAAGTTATAAAGCGTGATTGTCGTGATTGAAATTCGAATTTACATGCACTTTGTTTTTTGTTTTTTTTTCCTTTCAGTTATAAAGAAGATTTGTAAGGATTATGATTGCTATAACTCAAGCCAAACCGAAGAAAAATTTAAACAACTGCAATTGTGGGTAATTAACAAACTAATTAAAGATTAAACGCCTACAATACAGATTAATCAGGACGAAACTAATGATCAAAATCATCAATTTTGCCCGACCGACTCAATTCACGACCACCTTGATTAAAACAAACTAATAGAAGCAGACAACATTAATCACACAGAAGCAGGAATGCCCTCGTCGTTATCGAAGCTCCAAAGGTCATCACCGACGGTGCTTTCCTGAGGCGGAGGATTCTGGGGAGCCGCCGTGGACTGCCCATCCAGATAAGGAATCTGATAGAATTTCATCAAGTTCTCGTACGCCATTAGCTCCTCAGAAAGCTTCTGCACTTCGTCATCTTCCATTCTGGCAATCGCCTCCAAGCTCAATTCCCCTTCTTGTGTTTCCTCCACTTCTGTCAGCTCAGCTCCGCCGTGACAACCGCCCATCCCGTTCTGATTGCAACCCAGCAACCCCTTCGAGGAGAAAGCGCCATCTGAACCAGACCAAGAGTTTTCTTCCCCGGAAATAACAATTGGGTCGGTGTTCGCAATGGCCATGGAGTTAAACCCATCTGAATTGGAATTGGAGGGAAATGCCGCAAACTGGTTCAGATCATACTCAAATCCCAATTCAAAGCTTTTGGGTTGAAACAGAGGAGGATTTGGTTTTCTCAGATAGGTCTGGGCGGGAAGGTCGTCGTCTTCGTTTGGGAAATTGACCTTGGCTTTATTGCCGCGGATTTTGCGAGCCTCCCTGTCGTAAGCTCGGGCCGCCTCTTCGGCGGTGTTGAAGGTACCAAGCCAAACTCGAACCCCTTTTCTGGGATCACGAATCTCGGCGGCCCATTTGCCCCACGGACGCTGCCTGATGCCTCGGTACAGGTTCTTCCTCTGCCTCTTAGCCGGCTTCTCTTCTTGCACATTACCTATTTGTGAAAAATCCCCCGTCACAATCCGAACGAAAATTCTCATCTTTTAAACTCTCAGAAAACAACATACGGATGAACAAAGAGCTTACCTGAAATGGGTTGGGATTTTTTACGCGGATTTGAGTCGGTGTGAGTAGTTGGGGTGGGATTGCAGTCGAAGAAAGTGTCGGGATTGAACTTGGCGAAGGGAGAGTCCGGCCATATGTCGGAAGCGGTGACACGAGGGCGACGGTCGCGAGGGATAAAATCGGAGATTATAGCACCACCGCACATTCTCGAAGTCGAACAAACCTGTGTTAAATAACTCTCAGAGATTTGATGAACTGAAAATCGAAGGAGAAAGATGTGAAGAGAGAGAGAGAGAGAGAGAGAGAGAGAGAAGCGTTTTAAGGGATGAGTGGGAAATGAGGAGGGGAGGAGGGGGTGCTTTTGTACGAGGAGAAAGCCACACTGTTTGGGATTTAGCATTAATTACATGTCCTTTTGTGGAACTTTCGTCGGATTTACCAACCTTTTAATTAAATTTTGTTACCTTAAAATCTTATTGGGCCTTGCGTGGCTGGCAAGCTTATCGGACTTTCTTTCGAGTCTCTGGTACGCCAGCTGGCCCTAATGAGAGAGCAATGGATATTCGTATACGCGCAGTCGCGTACGTCTTATTTGGACGTGGTGATGATCAACGTGACGCTGGTAAAACAGGGTTGAAAATTTGCTTTTGTAAGCTGAAATTCTGACTAATTATTTGGCGGCGGAAAGAAATTTACCTGCATGAATCTGGAGAATGGAGTCTTCCAATGAAAATATAACAAAATATTATAAAATTCAGGTTTTTTAAATTAAAATGATCTCTGAGAATGACATTACTTCTCACTTTAGCCACTGAGTTTGTTTACCATCAATCATTTTTGTCATTCTATTTTTATTTAGTTGAAATTTTTCACCGAATGACCAAAATGATTGATGGTGAACAAATTCAGAGACCACTACCATCGACTACAAATCTCAAGGGCCAAAATGAGGAATATGCCAATCTCAATGTCCATTTTCACTGAAATGCCTAAAATTTATTATATGTGAGTTTTCATCCTTAATATTACCTTACCAAGGTTTTTTATTGATAAATTTCTACACCTTGGAATGGGTGGTGAATTTAGTGAAACATATTGTACTTAAAAGAGTTCAGTACATGGTACATCTGAACTTTTACACTAGTTGTATATGCACTCAATCATGCTATATTATTTGTTTTAACTTATTAACATAACATTGTATAACCGGCTTGGGATACAATCACCATGATATTATGTTCATCTCGGTGGTGTACTATCTATCGTTATTCTAATTAATTTAGGGAATACTTAAAAAAACTCATTTTACACTCCTTACAAGTGTATTTTTCTTTATAATTATAGAAAGTTTGGAGTGCCAAATAAGATTTTTGAAGTGCTAATAACAAGTCCCTTAATTTATTATGTGAAAATCTACTTTTATTAGTTCGGCGGTGGAAAAAAACTTACATGTATGGAACATATAGAAGCTCTTGTATAATATTTTAAATCTATTACGCTATGGTATTCGTTTTCGCTTTCTCACTAGACTTTGCAAATATTGACTTGAAATTCATACCATGACATTTTTTTTTCCTTCTTGGTGGTGGTATACCTTATACAATTATTTTCTAATTTACGGGTAAGTTCAAGTATGATTATTTTAGTAATTTTAAAGTGGTGGAAATAAAGTTATATGTGTGATACATTTTGTTGATGCACAAAATCAGGTTGAATTTGGAACAACATAAAATATCAAAGTGTGACTTTCACAAAGTTGCTCTGGTTACCAAGTGTAAGTAATATGCATAGAGATGGATACAAACACAAGACGTACGTGGTTCACCCTAAGTTTAGGCTACGTCCATTAGAGTAGACGAGTTCTCATTAATAATGTGGAATTTACATGATACAAAGGATTAAGCATAATCATTATTAGTGAGTTCTAAATTTTAATATCACCACTAATGAATTAAGTAGAATAATAGCATTAGGGATTAATTATGGATGAATGATGTCCTTTTATTGTTGAGGATAGTCCCGTGTTTTCGTTTGCGGTCGATATGAGACCCTAGGAGTTTTATTTTGATGTCGACACATGTCATATTATGATTGGTCTCTTAATTGGAGAGGAACTCACGTGCTTTGACAGGGGTGCCTCATCATGAACCCTTCAGTAGGTCTTCAAAGGTATAAAGTTGACAAGTACTCGGTAGTTTCGGGGTTGATGAAGTATGATACAAACAGTGCTCCTCCAAATTCCCAAGTGAGTGATGCTTATCGGTTGTGGACTTGAAAAATTCAAGTCACTTAGTAATCATGAATCTTTCGAGTGCTGAACTGTAATAGCATATAATAGGAGTCCTCTCAAGTCTCCAAGCGAGGAGTTAGGATTATTGAAGGAGGTGCCTTGATTTTTCCGAGTTGCTGAGGGACCAAAGTTCCACCCTGTTCATTTCTTTGTTCTTTTTGGGACAATTCCCACCTTTTTCCTTCTTCATATGATATTACATAAGCGTCTTGGGAAACAACTAATTTGACGTCCCAGTTGTTGGAAGTTTCTCAGTTAAAAAGCAATCGGGTGGGGGCAAATAACCAAAATAAAATAGTGATTGTTGGTAAAAATTTGAATGGGTATGTTGAAGGTTCTACCATGAAAAAAGTGGAGTAGCTTTAACTGAATGAGGATCCTCTCCGGATCCTTCAATCATATCCATTTATCATATCTCGTGTGAGAAATTATTGTAAATTTTTTTATTTAAAATTAAATATAAACAGTACTTGACGAAAACTGATCGTACGAAATACGATGAACGGATACGATTGAAGAATTCCTAGAATTCTCACAAAGAAGATCCTCATTCGCTTTAACTCAAGTTGTTGATCAAGTTGGTACGTAAATATATATAATTAAACATGAGAGGAGAGACTTGAGAGAGTGGATGGAAGCAGAGCATGTTTAGAAACCGCGGAGCACACCGCATGCATATTCTAATTTCAAAGTGGTGGGCATAATCCAGCATCCATGTTGACTTGGACAATAAGTAACAACAGCCAGCTAATTAGGGAAGACTTCAAAGCTCTTTTTGTTTGCTGCTGCTGTTGTTGTGTTTGAATTGAATGGTAGAAGTTGCCGATTGAGGGCTGGTTTGGTATTGCTGTGCTTTGAAAAAAAACTGCTTCTGTTGTGCTGTGAAAATAAGCAGTTGTGAAATAAAGCAGCAGAGTGTTTGGTAAACTTTTTTGTAAAAGTGCTTTTGAAAAGAAAAAAAAAAGCAGTATTATAGTGTTTGGTAAACTTTTATGTAAAACAGATGTGAAAAAAAACCGGTTTTTCAAAGTTGAATTTTACAGCTTCTTGTTTTTGGCTTTTTTTTCACCCAAAACTGTGAAAAAAAAAGCTGAAGCTGAATGTTTACCAAAACACAAAAACAGCTCCCAACTTTTTTTTATACCAACTTTTTTCAAAATCACCTTAGTACCAAACCAAGACTGAGTCATTGGCTGCCAAATTTTGAAATATCTTAATTAATCCGCACCACTTCGTGTTCGTCGAGTCTTATTTGATATTACAAATTTGTATTAATTTAACGTAACTTTTTGTCGCTTTTGGCACAAGTAGATTGTATTTTATATGTCATGTCTGCTTCATGTCGACAATGTGAAACAACGAGGAATTTTCTATTAAAGTTGTCATAAAATGTACTTTCAGACCATTTTAGAGACATCTTAGTGAGACTAACCAGTACATTTTATTAGCTTTTTTATTTTTCGGCTTAAGTTTCAATAAAAAAATAGCTAATTATATGACTCAATAATGATAAGCGCTTTCAAATGACTTACAACATATTTCTTTTTTTTTTGGGTAAAAACTTACAACATATTTCTTAATATCGAGGAAATTTAATTGTGTTAAGATCATCTCTATAGAAAATAATTCGAAAAAGAGTTTGGTCAGTCATCTAAATGTATTAAATAAATTAATGATGTAGGTACTAAATAACATATTCATGATGAACCATCTATTTATTTGATATATTTAGATGATTAAACGAACTCCGGTTTGAATGAGCTTTTGTAAGGCTGATCTTCAAATGAAGACTAAGAAAATTGAGTGGTTTCAATTATGAAATTTCTACGATGAAGATAAATTATTTGCTAATGGAAAAATGAACTTATTTTCCAAAAGAGGAACACAAGTATTCTTAGTGACATACAGAAAAAATTTCGTGAAACTAATAGTCACATTTTTCACCAAAAATTGTGAGCTAGTACTCACGATTTTTAATAGTTTCTTTGAATTTCTATGAAATCCATCCTAAAACACTTTTGCAACGCCTAAGCATTTTTAATTCATGCAAAACACTTCGGAGATACGTGTTTACAAAGCAGCACTGCTAGGCCTACAATATGCTTAATTATAAACGATATGATCGATTGAACATAAGTGTTTGGGGTAAGTCTTAAAAAATTCGGACTTCTCTTTTTTTTTTTTTGGAACAAACAATATTATTTATATTAAGGGGGTGGGGGAGTGGACTAAGTCTCACGATGGGCTAGCAATAATGTGGTTCAAATTCATCTTTGGCAAGAATCTAACCTAGGATCTCTCACTTACAATTGAAGAAGAATACTACTAGACCGTAGTACTAAGTAGTAAGTAAGCACATTTTTCACCAAAAATTCGGATTTTAAATCAATTAGATTGACAAGTAAGCAAAAATATTATTTTCTCAATTTAATCTTGATCGTTTATTTTTCACATGCTATTGAGTAGTTTGGATTATTTGAAGAAAAATTGAAGTGTTTGATCCCAAACCTACGATATTTATCTTTGCCAACGTGCTTCCACGTAAACTCTCTCCAACACAATATTAATTAATCAGACTATGGATATAAAAAACTTAACCATTCTGATCTGCCAACAATTCTAAAAATAGTAAAGAAAAATAAAACACTTGAAGCCATTGCTGTATAAGGATATGGTAGTGACTCTTCAACTCACAAATCATCCAAGTTTGGTTCACCTTGTGCATACATTGTTTACAACAAGAGTAACAAACAATGGCTTTCACCTCCCGTTTCCTCTTTGCCACCTCCTCCTCCATGCTTCTCTTCTCATTGCTAGCCATTGCCTCTGCTACGGATTATAGCTCCGGTGCTCCTAAGCCAAAGGTTGATGAGCATCCAAAACTTCCAAAGGTTGGTATGCCGAAATTACCGAATGTCGGAAAACCGAAACCAGAAGTATATACAAAGCTAAAACCTCAGACCATTGATATTCAGGGGCTGGTTTTGTGCAGATCAGGCCTTCAAAGCTTCCCAATTAAAGGTAGTCTCTAATTCAATGTTAAATCATTAATCTTCATGCATCTTACGTTCTTAGACAATCAAGGGCACATTATGTATCATGAAGAATCTTAACGTAACTTTCAAAATTTAGGGTTTACATTGTGGTATGTTTGCACTCTCATGTGTAATCCACGTGTTATAATATAGGTGGAGGACATGATTGATATGTCACGACCAAGCGTAATATCATGAGTTTGAGCATATTTACAGGCTTACAGCTAGTTTATAAGTTTTTTTAATTAATCAATGTTTTATTGGGTTGGAACGTAGGAGCTGTGGTAAGGATTACATGTTTGGCTGAGGATGAACAAGGTTACGAGACTGCTCCTTTCTCCATATTGAGTGGTGCAACTGATGCAAAGGGTTACTTCATCTCAACGTTGTCGCCGTCGCAGCTTGGAGACAAGTGGAAGCTGACGGAGTGCAAGGCGTTTCTCGATTATTCTCCATTGGAGACCTGCAAAGTCCCTACTGACGTTAACCAAGGAATTACTGGTCATCTGCTTTCCTCTTATCGTACCCTCAGTGCCAAGAACATCAAGCTGTACTCAGTTGGGCCTTTCTTCTGCACCTCAGAATCTAAACCAGTTCCTAATGGCGGCTATTAATTAAAGGATAATATTCGGGTCCTGACCAGTCAGCCAGCACGTTATAGCTATGCCTGATTTTATTTATCTCCTCCATTCACTAATTTGGAGCTGGAATTTTGATTCTTCATTGTTGTTGGTTTTGCTTGATTAATTTCATTATTAATGTCAAGAGGTTTTGTGCTCTACCATTTGGGATTATTTGTAATTAGCTGCGCTTTGCTCTATTAGAGGAGCATATGCAATGTTTTTGCATTTGTTTTGCTATTGCAATAATATCTTTATTATTTCATAAGATCTACTACTTTTGAGTTTCCAAATACACAGATTTCTAACTAGAGGAATGTTGTTGAAGAATATATAGAGTTGTTTTTTAAATGCATGTGTGATGTATATGCCACTTCTTCTCTGTATAGATGTCCGTGTTTATTAAAAAACAGACCGTCGATATGGTGTCAATAACATTTGTAGCTAGATAACATGTCAACAACAAAATTTAGTGACAACATTGGTAGCTAGATAACATGTCAAGGGTAAAATTTAACGATGTGTTATCAATTATTAATACAAATCAACATACGTTCTAACAAACATTATAGATCTATGCAGGTCCACCACTAATATCACTGATATTGTCTTTACTTAACCACCTATCGTTAGGTGTGAGTTATATCATAAAATGCATCGGTGATGTTAACGGTGAGATGTCTCATATATGAGTTGTATTAATTATATTTTGTTATCTGCCCGATGTGACTCTATTCTCCAACACTTTCTTAATACAAATATCTAACATTCTTGATACTAATTGGTCCCTTACAAAGAACGAATGTAAATAGTCTATTTCTGTTGACTACAAAAATTACAAAACCTACGTGGCGCGCAGGCCGAGTAACTAATGAGCTAACTACGTCCTTCGGTTGAATGCGGGGCGTGCCAACTCGTCGGCCGAGCTCGGCCGAGGAGTAAAATGTGATGTCGCGTTGGGTGCGCTATCGACTTCTGTATCTTGCGATTGCGACCGAGGAAGGAACGCTCTCGGTCTCTGGGTTCTATAGCCTGAAGACAAGGCTACTAATTCTACGGAGTTCACAGGTCGTCGGACCCTGATTCGGTCACTGTGATTATATTCGTAAGAGTATAAGCACGCCGAATCGAGACCAAACTATATGGGCACAGGTACTCGAATGTGATGTATGTCTTGATGGTAAACGTAGTTCGGCCGTCGGAATGCCGAACCCTGAAACTTACTTGCGAGTATCCAATCATAAACTCACTCGACGTCCAATACGCCGAGCAATGCAACTCGTAACACCCAACTATGCCGAAAAGGCTTAGTTAGATGACCTCCACCAACAAAGGTTCGAAAACCCTTCTCGGCCGAGACTTAGATAGATAATCGGTCGACCTCGACGCAGTGCTGTTTATCCAAACTGAAGGTGTTTCTCGGTCGGCTGATTCTGCGGCAGCAGTGCTGTTTATCCAAACTGAAGGTGCTCACCGGTTGCTTCCACAGTGCTGTTTATCCAAACTGAAGGTGTGTCTGCAGGAAAAGAAAAGGAAAAATCTCAAGGTGTTTGAGAGGTTTTGCGCAGGGCAATTGTATGCTGATTGTGAAGGGTCCTTTTCTATTGCGTAATTTCTTGTATTTATAGCACCTCGCTCCTTGATTCCCATTCTGATTTGGATTGGGAGTCCTTGTCCCATCTCACCTTTAACTCAAACAATCCCAGTCCTATTGGGATTCTGAATTCTCCTACTTTTGAGGTTTTATCCCTTGCCGGTCGAGAATCCTGGTTGCATCAGGATTTCCTCGACCTTTCCTCGTTTATCTGGACTACTTAAGATAGGATCTGGCCGACCCTGCCAGCTGGTCCGAGTCTCATTATTTGGCCCATAGCATGTGTTATTACCTTGGGCCGAGCACATCCTGCTGCTCGGCCCAATCATAATATTTTGGGCCCAAACAATTTCACATATAGTGAAATTCATATTCGAGTTGCTTCGAGCGGACAATGACTCAACTCAACCCAACCCTTTCCCAAAAATAGTTGGGTTGTTCAAGTTCGGCCAGATTTATAGCTTCCTTTCTAACCCTACCATTAGAGCTTAAAACTAAATTAGATTTGGGGTATTCGTTTTGACCCGAATCAAGTTGCACCTCTACTTTTCGACCTTTCTTCAATATGTAATTAATAAACCTTCAAAATTTGTACGTCAAATTTATGTACAATATTTGAATCTAGACTCTTGATTGTTAAAGAATATAAGAATTCGATAATAAAAATTTGCACAATTACTTTTTCTGATAAAACACCAATACTTGTCACGCTGTCCAAGTAATAAAATGAAAGTTTGAGATAATGTCAATGTGATGAATAATGAGCCATTAATTTGTATCTCTGCAATCTTGAGAACGACTAGTTTTTTGTGTTTTGTTTGTTTTGGTCAACTAGGTACTATCTTTAATTATGCATTCATGGCTCGTTTGAAAATTGAAAGTGTTTTAGGAACCAATTATTAATAAAAATGCAAGTAAATCTTAGAAAAACGCTTCAAGTGTTTTAGAAATCTAAATTTAAAAAAAGGTTTATAGTTGAAAGTAATTCCAAACTAGCATTACAATCATAAATGTTTTCTACAATCGATGGGAGCGAGGTTCGTGGTTGCATGCAGACAGGTCAACTAGTTGGTCTGATTTTTTTTAATTTATATCCCAAATCCTAATCATTTTAGACATTTATCTAAACAAAATCTGATTTCGATGCCAAATAACTATAAAAAATAACCTCAGGCAAGAGACATTGCATACAAAATTAAGGACGTGGAGAAAGAATTTGCAGTTTGGCAGTCACGTTGCTCATATCTATATGTCGTGCAACCAAGTTGGTTCCTGTAATTCATATATTTTATGTCACCAAAAATAACAGATTTATCCCTCTCTATAAAAAGGAGATGGTTTCATTTTCCATCCATCTCTCTAATTTAAGCATACTTCAATAATTTCTTGACAATTTTGCCAATAGGAGAAGGAAAAAAAAAAATTCTTGCCAATGGCGGCTTTTAATCACCATTTCTTGCATGCAACCTCTTTGCTAGTCTTGGTACTGGTGGCAGTGACGGCTTCCGAGGCTGGTGCCGGCGGCTACGGCAACACAAATCCTGATCAGTATGAGAAGCCCAAACCAGAAAAACAGAACAACCTACTATCAACCAATGCCATTTTGGGCATTCAAGGCCTTGTTTATTGCAAATCCGGCCATAAAGTCCTCCCGCTCGAAGGCGAGTCCGGTTTCTCTCTGAAAATTAGAGTAGTTTACAGTATAGTTTTGTGCTCGATCTTAGTTTCTAACTAGAATATTATTCAATTGATATTTCAGGAGCGGCAGCCAGGATAACGTGCGAGGCTGTAGACCAGTATGGGTTGGAAACTTCATCTGTCACCATCTTAAGTGATGCAACTGACGCAAAGGGTTATTTCTTTGCAACAATATGTCCTTCTGAGATTGAAAACAAGAAGCAGCTCACTAAGTGCAAAGCCTTTCTTGAACTCTCTTCGTCGGAGACTTGCAACATTCCGACGGACTCGAACAGCGGAATCAGTGGTGCTGTGCTAGCTTCATATCGCTTCCTCCATGACAAGAACATCAAGCTATATACTGTAGGGCCTTTTACTTTCACATCATCACCACAAACCCAGAGTTCAGTCCCAAATAATGGCTACTAGATAAGACTCTACTTTCGACATTTGAGTAATAATAATGAGTAATGAATTTTGTCCGTCGATTGTTCTTTAGTTTATTCAATTCGAAGATCAGAATAATCAGAGACGTGCAAAGCGAGAAAAATGGTGTGAGAAGATGTGGGGAGGCAAATGATTTTACTTTGTAATTGATCAGTTTTAATTTTTCTGGTTGCTAGAGTTTTAAGAGTTTTTTAGTCAAAATGGTCCATAACAGTAGCATAACTCTCACTTTGGTCGTTGACATTGAAAATCAATAGAAGTGATCCACCGTACATTAGTTTGGTCATTATGTAAAAATCTATCAGTATCCTTGTCAAGTGAAGGGGTTGGCTTGGCAAAAATAACCTTAAAAAATTGATCATGTGATCGTTCATGTGACAATTTAATGAGAATATTAACAAATTTTTTACGAAATGACCAAAATTATTAACAGTTAATAAACTCAAGGATCACCTATATCGACTTTCATTGTCAAAGACCGAAGTGAAAAAATTATGCCAATCTCAGAGATCATTTTACCTAAAAAGCCTAGAGTTAATTAGCATTTCATAAACAAATGTAACAAGCTTAATTTGTACTCTATCATTCAAGCAATCCTCACTTAATCCACCATATTGTCGAAGCTAGTATTGACATTCCTCAAATGTCGTCGTACACTGCTTGAGAGTAAAATTTCTCCCGTGAGTTTTATACGAGAGCAGGCGGTGTAGTCCCCTTTCAACTACAAATTATACAAAAGAATATGTATAGCAAATTTGGTACAACCCTCTGTCGCTGTGTATAGCTTTTCTCATTGTCCTCTCTCCTCACAATTTTCTTTACAAAGTGTGTTACACTAAGCCTACGTATTCAATCCTTTTCCTATATACACCGCCCTGAATTTAGACCTCCCTAGTTCTTATGTTGCCGGCTTATTTGGCCAAGAGTCACCAACAAATTGACCGAAACTACGGAGCTGATTACACAACAAAACTCTAAAACATGACGGAATTTCAGATTTCTTTAGGCAAAACTTGATAACCAAGCCAGCAGCGGCTGAGTGGGTTGAGCGTTGATGGCTCCATGAATGGCTCAGCATTCAAGATATTGCAGATTATCCATTGAGCTAGGCACGCTGCAACCCGTAGACCATCCCAAGACGCCTAGAATTATATCGATGCTTGAGCATGCAACAACCTGAGAGGGGTGAGGTGCGAGGGGAGAGGGGAGATAAATTCTCATGTTAGCACAAAAAGAATCACCAAGGGATAAAAATACAGGGTTCAGAGATGGATGTCGGATATATTACCAAACTTTCCACGTTTCCTTCAATGTGAAATAACATGACCGCCATTCCCCTTTCCCCGTCAATCTCAGCCTGGTCATTGATGGTAGAGGTGTTACAGAAATAAAAGAGAGTGCATCAACATAAAAAGCAAATAACTGCCAGCTCCAACCACTCACCACACAAGAACAAATTGTAATGCCTGCAGCTGCCAATGCTGTAGTAACCTCAGCCATCATACCTGAAATTATTGTTTTAAAGTTAAAACAGGTCTAGAGTGATATGCAGACGACGTCTACATCCATCAACTGAAACTAATAAGACCACATGCTACTGATTGACTCAATCTATGAAGGTAAATTAGAAGAAAAAAATTTGTCCCGGGAATCCTTGTACATCATTACTAAAGTAAATCACGTAGGTTGAAAAGAGTTTAGGGTTAGTAAACAAGATATCTCCACTGATCTTCTCAAGAAAGAAAAATAATCAGAAGTGCCCGCTGAGTGCTGACTTGCACAAGTTGGATCTCAACCAGCAGCAAATGCGTCACTACTGTTTTTAACTTCGAATGTAGAACAAAGGGAATCTATCAATGATTTATTAAAAAAAAGCTAACCTTTTCGATCAACACAAACCACGCAGAACCATTGTATGGAGTGCCCTGCAATACTATGCCAAGATGCAACCTTGCTGGCCTGCCAACTTTCTAAACTGGGCAAGGCTTCCTTGCACATTGGAATGTTAGCTTGCAACATTCTGGCAACGCCATTCCCTTGCAACAATGACTCCCCCGCAGCCCTTAAACTTACATGCTGAACATTCTTGTTGTGCTTCCCATTCACCTTGGGAGCCAAGGCGCTTCCATTTGTAATTTGAAAGGGACCTACAGAACTTCGTTCTGGCAATGAAACTTCTACAACATTCCCCATCATTTTTTCCCATATAGGTTTGTATCCTTTGAAGGTACTTGGGAGCTCTTCTGCTTCGATCTCTTCTTCAGAATCAGCAATGAAGTCATTTACTTTATCGGCTGTTATTTCAGCAACAGACAGGGCTGCTTGCTCCCTTAAGAACTACAATCACAATGAAATGTTGATCATTGGAGCAATGCAGAAGTAATAGGACAAACAAAAATAAATCATCATCCAACCGACAAAGCATACTTTCATAATTTTGTGCCTGGCACTACGTGTTTTTGCATGTTGCAACCACTGTTTGTGCCTCTGAAAAGCTGATTTTCCGGTAAGTGACTGGAGAAACAAGAAAAAGAAAATTATGATCCCTAAATGTACAAGCATAAGATAACAGAATGCTGAACATGTCATATAAACTCCTCCACATGTCCATATAAATGAGCAAGCTATTAGAATTTTCCTATGTAATGCGTGTGTTGGTGTGTATGTTAAGATTTTGTACATTTTATTGTACACATTTAAAGAAAGGAAATACAAGATAATGGTTGACAAATACTGACATTATAAGTGATTATCTCCACAACTTCAGCATTTACAAGCACATGCATAGGAGAAACAAGATTTCCATTGACCTGCACCAAAAAAATGTCATCCTAGTTTTAATTCCATACATGCAGCCGAAATTTAAAATAAAAAAATAATATAAAATCAGTCAAATGTAAGCAAATTACCTTTGCTGCTACCATTTTGTTGCCAATTTCAGTGTGTATCATGTAAGCATAGTCAATAACAGTTGCTCCTTTAGGAAGATTTTTTATCTGCATATTGTAAAGATATCTATCAATACAATGAAGCAAAATTATTGGTGTCTGAAATTTTATGTTGACAATCTCAGTCATGAAGCAATCCAATTTCTTACCTCTCCCCTGGGAGTAAACACAAACACACGACTACCTAATAGATCTCTAGTGATAGTTTCAACAAATTCTCTAGAGCTCATGTTGCCAACAAATTCTTCTTGCCATTCTCTAATTGCATTGAGCCAGCCAATCTGGAAGAAACAAGAGACTTCATTCATGAGATTCGTAGACATGAAACGAGTTTACCATGAAATCCCCACAAAGAGGACTTATGACGAATCATAAATTACAAATGAACACATGTACAATACCCTGAGCGCAATGTTTGCATTGTTAAGGCAAACAGTCTTCCCTCTTGAACTTCTACCATTAGGGAGACTACGCCCAATTAAAACAGTAACAAATCCTCTCCCACTATAATGAGAAGCAATTCCTCTCTGAGCTATCAGATCCATCTCCTCTGTTCTTATCTGCCAAAACAGAAAGCAAGTGATATAATGAATACCTCCTAAAAACCTAACAATCATGCAGGAGAGAATTCAACTCTATAAAAACCTTTATAAAAACTTTGGGAAAATATGAGCATGCTAAAAAATGATGTGATTGTACCTGCACTTCTAGCCGCAACATGCTTTCATACAAGAAAGGAATTACAGTTGTATGGAGACTCTGATAGCCATTAGGTTTTGGGGTGGCAATATAGTCTTTCATCTGTCAGAACAGATAAACACGAATTTTTAAATTCACAAATAACTTATACTGCTTAAATTGAATCTTGTAAGAGTAATAGAAGACATGCTCACCATCCGAGGAATAGGGGTCCAGATTCCATGAACCAGCCCAAGAACATGGTAGCAGATCTGATGAGAAAACAATAGAAGGAAAGCTCAACGACATAATAAGTACAGATTACAAAGTAAGTAAAGAACTCCCTATCTTGGCATGAGCAAGGATATACCTGTTGTGGGGTGCACAAAGGTCCAGCTCCAAGGGATGGCTTTGGTTTGATTATAATTCGAAGCTGGTAATAACGAACAAAAGCTATAACTCAATGAAGAAATATGAATTATCATGAAATGTCCTCAACAAAAGTTTCAAGTTAGCTGAAGGAAATATCAGAAATACCTGTGCAATTTGATTGATCTCGTTAATTGAACTTTTACATTTGAGCGCGGCCTTGTAGATACTGCAAGCAAACATCAAGAACAATCTATTTTAGACCCAAAAATAGTCCTCAAGAAACTGGCTGCTGAAATATGAAGCAAAATGATAAATTCTCGGACAAAGAATGACACACTAAGCTTGAATGTAACATCTCATTACAAGGATTACAAGAGTGATAGGTCATGTTCCATGCCAGTTTAAGATCTCTTTGGACAACGTCCTTGTATTTCACGTAGCAGATAACACAGCAGTACTTAATCATATAATAAAGTCAAAGAGAATCATGCTTGTAATGAGTTTAGAAAATACAAAACAGGCCACAAAAAAGAAAGAGAAAATGGTGGTAGGACTTATGATCTGACCTGTATGGTTCCTTACACACAGCACGAACTTCAGTTTTCACATCCATAAGTTCTAAGAACTCATCATCCTTAATCCTCTTCATCAAAATTTTGTTTGCCTAGCACAAAGAACTAAGGTTTGATGAGAAAACATCACCAATAACACAGTGTTGAGAAGTTAAAACTGAAAGCCTCTACTATATTTGCATGCCAAAACAATAACCATATAATCAACAATGTCCCCTGAGTATTACGTAGACCCTGTTGTTTAACAAATTAATGCATTACCTCCACAAGTTCTTTCTCATGCTCTTTGTAGAGGCCTGCAACTCTTCTCTTGATCTTAGCATAATCTTCAGCATTGGTGTACATGAAGGAAAGGTTTTCAAGTTCCGACTGCAATATGGAATATGCGGGCATTCAGAATACAAATTAACAGAAGCATCATATATGAAAATGAAATAAGATAGAACAATTTATCATTATAGTCATATCATTCCTCATAAACTTGAAATTCAGTTGTGAAACCCTCACCCTCACCTCAAGATAAGAAACTTGTATCTCATAAACTATATTTTAAGGACAGAACTTTAAGTCACAACTCTAAATATTCAAACTTTAGAG